AAAAAAAAAAAAACATCGTCGTGGGCAACACGACACAAAAGCAATTTCGGGAAAATGTTTTTGACTTCGATTTGGGGCGTGGGACTGAGTACGACACAGCGTGATGGCAGCAGTTAAGAAAATAAGTCTTCGGAGCTTCATGAAACCACCCTATTTGATCACGAAAATGAAGTTTTGCTGCAGCCAGCAAGCACGGGCGCAATCGACAACCCCTGATTGCTCACTCAGAAGCGAAAGCCTCAGAATGGGGCCCGTGTGCACATTGCGGTAAACGTTGCATTAAGCTTCAGATGTAGAAGGAACCAATTACGAAGCCCATTTGCCAAAGCATTGGACAGCACCAGGATGACATGGCTGCCGGCTCCATACCCCAACTGGCGAACTACATTTCCTTGAACGGCCTCCTAGTCGGGCGCCGACACCACTGTGCTGGTTTTGGCCGTAGCCAAAGGCCACTCCGTTCCCGCAGTTCTTGCAGGGTCGCGGGCTACACATTCATCTGAACATGTGATCAGAAAGCAAAAGCAATAATACTGTACCGATCTGTTGCGGTTTTTTGTTTTGTCACAGGTGTTCAATCTGTAATACTTCACAAAGCACCCACAACTGGACATGCTGACGGTCGCCACCACATAGTGTCATGCATTTTATTTTCACATTGAATTCACCAAGCGGCAAAAACGTCGTTCGGAGGTCTGCGATGGTCAAATCGCCCACCTATGTCATCGGCCAGTATTGGAGTTGGAGATGGTTCGGCATGAAAATTTAATGCGCACAATGCATTTGAAAACCATGTCCAAACCCTTGCCGAGGAACCGGGTGCATGTGTTCAATTTGTTTCTCCGGTCTCTGGCCATTGGTCCGCCAGTGCTGTGCACGCTTGTTGCTCTCATTCACCCATTGCCGCATCCACCTCGGTTACATGTTGAAACGGTTTGCCCGCTCCATCCCGAGTAGTGCGTGGCACTTTGGGTGCATGTTGGTTCACCAACAACATCTCGGCGGCGGACATGCGCTGAACTCATGCGAGGGCATGCCAAGCCCGTCGTCGGGAAACAAGCGGGCTCGTTAGACGGTGCGGTGATGTATGTCAAACGGGCAGTGTATTTATTACAACCCTGCATGAGACGTGGCGAAAATCTAGACGGAACCCGACAGATTACGACGTCGTATGATGGCATGTATGAATTCTTGGTAACCTTATCTAAGCATCCTTGTCTGCTGACAGAATGGAAACGTGCTTCAACCCACGCCGTGCAGACGTTTGCTTGGAGCAGAATCCTTTGGCTCGAGTTCGTGCCTAGGATTAATGGGCAATGCCCCTCCCGTAGAAGTCCGGTCAAGGGCCTAGTTGCTATCAGCTGCTTTGAAAGGGCCGGACGGTGTCGAAATCGTGGGTTGGAAGACGAATTCATGCTCAGCTTTTTGTGCGCTTGTGAGGCCTCGTAGAGCTGATAGTGGTGTGGTGTCGCTTGCGCCTCAGCGCTTCGTACCCAAGTTCACTTAACCCTTCAATGTTCCACCCATTTCTTCCAAAGCGCAACTGATCTCGATCGAGGGCGTGCTGCCTCGCGCGGAAGGGAAACTTTCGTCACGGCCCCCCGGTGCAGCGATCTTAGCCTCCATGAACCAGCTGAGGTTTGTGTTGCATTGCCACTGCTTGTTATTCGAGTCCTGGCGGATAGCTTCGCACAATTTCCCGCCATGGTCGTAAATCGTAGGCCTTTGTGTTCATGTAGGTTGGTTCTGCAACGCTACTGCAAAACCTGTTGTGTAGTGTTTGCAAAGGTTTCGCGGCTTGAAATCACTGACTGACACACGACGGCAGAACAAGAAGTAATGTATAGCGGGATCTCTGTGATTTCTGGCGAGCCAGTATGTGTCGCAACTGATCACAGGCCCGTCGACATTGCTCAAGACTGGAAGAGCAAGAGCCTCAGTTGCTTCTGCCAGGCTTACTGAGCTATGCGGTCGAGTTGCTGTCCCAAGGTCTTGCGCGCGAGGAAAGATATGGCAAGAAGGTCGGATAGGGATGGCAAGTGCAAAGCCTGCACAAGAGCATGAACACCGTCAGCGATGCAGGTGACGTGGTGCCCCGGGAGGCAACCAGCATCAAATCGGAGTTGACTGCTTCGTATGTCCTTTACATTCGAACCACTGGCTGCTGTTGGCTAAGTTTGCATTGTGAGTAGCAGCCAGGATGTTGGAGACGAGATACGAGCTCATCGAAAGTGGCGACGAGTGGACAGAGGCCTGGCACTTCTGACTGTTGCCGCATGTTCGTGATGCGTTTGGCCACCCTTCGCGTGTATGAAACGAGGCGAGAAAATCCCAAGACGTGGATTTGTCAGCAGCGGGCTTTGTTTGTTGGTACTCATGTCAGCAAGTGCTTCTGTGCAGCATGCGCGGATGCAGTGAGTTGAACGATGTGTGGCGCCCCCGCCGGTCAAAATTCAAGCACACACAGCTGCTGCTTCAGATGGTCGTTGGGACTTCGGGGGAGAATTCGTAGCGTTTGTGCAGCTTTGAGCCATGGCCGAGGCGGTGGCCCTGGATACTTTTGAGCGTGCACCACCAGCCCGGCCTGGAGGGCAGTCGGCCTTTGCGTATCCCCCGGGTCGTACAGAAGATGAGGAAGAACGCCGGAGGCGTGAGAAAGAGCTGGCGGGAGACGAGGAGCTGGCACGCAACCTTGCTGCCCAGTTGCGCTTGACCTCCCCGGTTGAAACAATGCCAGATCGAGCTTCGGATCCTTTCGGGGATGATGACAGGCGACTGCCACGCGTGGGAGACAGAAACCCAACCGCATACAGAGGCGAGGCAGACGCAGATCGGAACCCAGGGGTGGAGTATCATGCCATGGATTCGGACACAGAAGACGCCTTCTATGCCGAACCGCCCAAGGCCGCCGGATATCATCAAGTTCTTTGCAACGTCCTCGTCAGCTTCTTCCGGAGCGGAGCTCTGAACTCCCGGGCCTAGAGAGTCTCATCGGAGGAGGCGAAGCGCTCGATGGTGAGAGGGCATGGTATACCTAGGTTCCTGAGTAGTACCCTCTTGCTTTTTTCATTGTATGGTTCTCTGATTGAAACTGAATAACACTGGCGAAAAAGGGTACCCTTATTATTGCGGCGTCACTCAGGAACCTAGATACGCTCAGCGACTTGTAATGCTTTGGTGTAGAATTTTCACGCGCGTTTGCAGCGCGTACTTCCGAGACGCCGCTGGAGCTTCGAGGGCACAGCTCGGCGAATTCACCCAAACCCAGAGACTCCAAAACCCCTTAATTAAGGAATATACCTTAATCATATTAGGATTCCTATTATAGTTTAAGGCACATTCCTTAATTAAGGGATGTTGGAGTCTCTGGGAACTTAAGCCGGGTCCGCTTAGTGGAGTCCGATGGCTTTGGAGGTCACGGCCTCTCTCCCGCATACAGGTCGGGTGTACTTAAGTTTGTGTCAGCCACGGATTTACAAAGAAAGATAGCTGCTCAATCTTGCCATAGCCGTACCGGTGAGTAAGGTTGAACACGTCGCAATTTGCAATGTAATGTGCTATGAGCCAAGGCCTTACCGGAAGTGGGCGCCGCACCTGACTCGGAGAGTCCAGTCACAACAGAGGAACGGGTTCGTGTTCTATAGACGGCTGGCGTTCAAAGGCCGTCGCATTGTCCATGCCCAGTCCTTGCCGTTTCTCAAGCATCTCGCTTGACAGGTTGCTGTTACCGGTTGCCTCTAGGCGATTATGTGAACCTTCCTGGCAAGATCTAAGGTGCGGAACATGTCCTTCAGTGGAGGCCTCAGTTGCGTCACGTTCAAGGCTTGCTTCTGTCCTGCGACTTGACAAGCAGCATTTGCACGAGACCACGTGCGCACGTGTTTGTCTATACTTCCGCATGAGGAGGTCCTAAACCACGCATCAACCCCACTTATGGTGCAGGAGATCCTTCTGCTAGAGAGATGTTTGTGCCAGACTCTCGCACACAAGCGCCAGACCCTTCATAAAAGGCATCGGAAACAGACACAATGCTACTCTCATCTCTCACATGTTTGAGGCCCCGCCCCGGCGACTGCACGCCGACGCGTGGCAGAGCGCCGAAAAGGACGTAACAGAGGCGCAGAGTTCTCGCAGCTTCGCGAATTTCTCGTCCGTGTTGACATTATCTTTTTTGGGCTCTGCGGTTTGCAGGTTGCAGCTCCAAGGTAAACCCTATACCTTAAATTAAAATGCCGCCCTCCCTCCCCCCTTTCATGGCTTTTGGGTCGACGAAGGTGAAGCAGAGAAGTCCGAATCTTCCACGGCCCCGTCCAATCTCGAGGCTCACAGCGCCGTCTTTGGGAGGGGAGTTGGGTTTGGGGCCTTGCTGCTGGTTGCGAGGAAGTCTAAAAGGCACCGAGTCTGGCGTTACGGTTTCTGCGTGTTTTCCTGGGCGATGGACCTCGGCTTCACCGAGGAACCGAAACCTAGACTCTCCATCTACCCTCTATTAGACCTATAAACACCTTTAATTTGTGATCATAACCATATACCCCATACCCCTATTTGAGGGTACTTGGAGCGTCCTAGACGTTGCTGGAATTTTGGGAGGCGCGAGCTTCCAAGGCTCCGGCTACCCTAAACCCTAAACCCTATATGGGAGTTTCCGACAATAAGGGGTACCTTATTTGGGGGTCCTTATAATAGGGATCCTATTATTTAGGGTACTATATTAGGGTCCCCTATTTTCGGAAACCCCCATATCAGGCTCTCAAACTTCACAAA